CACACACACACACACACACACACACACACACACACACACACACACACACACACACACACACACACACATCCGTCATCATCTTGCCCTGCTCGCTTCTAATCGTTTCCATGTGAATCGGGCCCTCACCTTTCTGAATGCTCCCCTGCCCCCCTTCTCTTCCCCCCTCCTCGTAGCATTTCGATTTGCACAACTCCTCCCCTTCGTCCCCCGCCCATCCCTCTCCCTCTACCTCATCCGCTCATCTTCCCATGTGATCCTCGGTCGTCCTTCCATCTCCTCTCAATTGTTATCTTGCCCCTTCCCCTGATACCATCGAGCATGATGAAGAGTCGGGTTAAAAGGGAAAGAAAACAAAAACTGAAATCAGACTTGTCTTCCACTTCACTTGCAACATGCATACACACAGGTGCCACTGGCAAAACAACTTTCTCGAAGTAGAATCAGCAACAAGTGTGAGATGGCGCAGTGCGGCCACACAGAAAACTCAGAGACTCGGCTCAACTCAACTTGTCACATCTTGCAGCTATGGCGTCTGAGCGCCAGTCTGAATTCCCACCTTCACACTATGTCCACCATCAGACACATCCACACTCACTCGCACGCATGTACACACGTACTAGGATCTAACCTGAATGTCTACGCACATACACATAACCCCACACACTAACTACTAACTCTGTCTCCGTGGCGGCTATGTCCGCCGTCGTCTTCTTCCTCATTACTGGATATGCCCCCTCGCCCTCTTCCATCTTCGGGCTCCAACCACCGGTGAACATGACGCAAAAGTCACTCGGGCAGCACTTCCACGTAGTTCACCAGATAATGAGTGAATGACTGATCGCTGCCTCTTTATTTGTACTGTTTCATTTGGTGGTCTGGGCCTGCCAATGTCCCAGGCCCTCAAAATGTGCAGTCCCACTCTGGCACTTGCTGCAAAAACGGACTGGACTGGGACTGCCCCTTCGTTTGCCCCTTCGGTGTCTGACTTGGGACTCTTGACCTTTCAGAGATCGACGGACTGCCTTTTCCATCTATAAAAGGTCAAGTTGACTCTTCGAGGACTGCTCTAGCCACGGCGTAGTGACCCTTTAGAGGACTTACAGACGACCCTCAGACTCCTAAAAGTCTAACCTACGGATCACAGGTTGACGTGCAACTATACGTGGGCTGGGGAAGGTATGGGGATCGAGTCTTGGTGTCTGCAATATTGTGCGAACTGGGTGAAACCCTTTCACTCCCACCCTCCTAATTCGACGTCCCCCGAGCGTTTTTACTCCAAGGCAGGACCTTTACCTTTTCTTGCTCTCTCGTAAGCATGCACTATGTCGGGAGCAGTTTCTAGAAGCTCGGTCCTTGTGAACCATCTGCTGTCCTCAGGTTCCTGGTTTGTACTGTTTTTGGGGACGACCTCCCTCCAGTCCGGAATACATCTTCTTCTAGTATTCGGTCTATGTCGTAGGTGCCATCGATATCTGGCAGAATAATCGATCTCCGTGAAGGAAACTGTAGATTAGTGACACAAGGTAACAACTTCGATGCATGGAAGACCGGATACGTATGGAGGTGAGGTGGAATCTCTATCGTGTATGATGGTCCATCCTCTCCAACTTTGACTTCTAGGACAGGCCACGACCTTCTATACCCGGGCAAGAGCTTCTGCGAGATGTTTACTTCAGGTGCGAATTCCTTAGACTTGTCATAGACCAAGTCTTGTACCTCTATCTGATGGTACCCTGACGTCAAGTCTATCTTACTGAAGTACTTGCAGCCTTGCACCCAATCTAAGAGGTCAGCTATACGAGGTAATGGTTCTACGTTCTTGATCGTTATGGCATTCAGACTTCTGTAGACAATACACATTCTCAATTCTCCCTCCTTTTTGGGGACAAACAGAAGAGGTGAGCCAAAGGGAGACGAACTGGGTCTAATCCATTCTTTCTCTACGAGCTTGATTAACTATTTGCGTAGCTCCTCCAACTCGTTGGGAGACATTATGTAAACTGCTCCTTTAGGGGTCCTACTGCCAGGTTCTATCTCTATGCGGTGCTGAATAGCCCTTGGTACTACCCGTGAGGGTGCTTCAGCTATGTCTGCATACTCCTTGAGCAAACTGGCAATACTTGGATGAATCTTATCTTCCTTCTTTGGTTGATCCGATGCTAGCTTCACATAGGCTACAAGGACCTCTTCTTCAAGTTGTTCCTTCCTTATGAGTCTAGCGAAGGCAGGCGCACTAAGGCAGCAATGTGTTAAGGAGTCGTCAACTCCTGACACATGGAACACGCAGACTTTCTTAATCCCACCTGAGGAACTAGGGAGTCTGCATTCATGCTCTCGAAGATGTCGTGTGGCTCCAACTGCCTCACCCAAATCAGTACCAAGTACTATGTCAAATTATAGATTTTCTTTCTACAAGTAGAGTTAGAGAATAAAAGACCTTCTCTACCTTTCCTTCTCCTTCTAGGCGAAAATACGCCTGAACTCCCTCGACGTACTCCTCGATCCACATGGTTCGGTTATCTGCGAGGATACTGACTGCAGGTTCTTCCAACTTTTGGACCTTGAGGCGTAGCCTCAACTTCTTCAGCGGTTTATGACTGTTGTAACTTCTAGTGGCCCCACTGTCTATAAGGGCCCCTACTCTAGATCTAAAGATATCTACATCAGCCAAGAGTAGCTGCCCCTTCTCATGCTTCTTCATCTTGGCCCAGGCCGGCCATCTCTCTTTTAAATCTCCATCCAAGCCTGTGAGGGAAGCGCCTAGAGAGAGTCTAACACAAGCAATCTCTGGGCAACTAGCTAGGTGCTGGCCAGCAACCTCTGCCATGGAGACATGTGGACTGCGAGTTTCAGTTTCCCGCGCGCGCTCATCTCCACGTGCTCTTGGGGTAGGGGCAGTTGCTACCTCTACCGGCGGTTGCCTTTTGCTGCCCCAGATGCAGCGCGATTAGGCCTCTTATATTTCGGGCAAAATTTGATGATGTACCCGGGATCTCCACAACACACGCATTGGAACTTGTCCATGAGATCCTGCCAAACGTTTTGACTCAAGCCTAAGGTTTCCTAGGGCCTTCCTTCTGGCTGTCTTGGGTGCCATCCTCCCCTTCTGGGAGGTGACCGACTAAAGCATGGCCGGTTAGACAAGGGACCTTGACCCCTACCTCCCTCTTGCGGGTCTCTGTTGCCGCCAACCCCCTCGCCGCCTGACCCTTGACCACCTGAGGCCTGGCGACCCCTGCAATGGCCTCGTCCTCTGTCTTGCGGCCTCCCTCTGGCCGCCACAACAACGTAGGAACTCCCTCTCTGTATTGTTGTCCTCCAAGTCCCCATTCAATGTCTGTGTAGGGGACTCCCTCTGCACCACCTTCCTCCATAGTCAGTATAAGACTATCTTTGGCCTTGACTTGGCCAGAAATGGTGTGACCTTTCCCCTTTTTCCCCTTTGCTAAGTCCTCGTGCCAGAAAGTGGTAACAGGCATGGACTGGCAGCAAAAGCAACAACTTCCCTATTAATGGTGTCGTACGCCATCCCAAGCTGCAACTTTTTGTTAAAGAAGCGCCCTTGCAATTGCTCGGAGAGCGCACAATAGAAAAG